TTCTGTGTTTCTTATGTTCAAGTATTAATGCTGCACTGTACTCCAAATATGATTCATTATGTAAGAACGGTGAATGGGAATTCATGGAAAGAAGGTTCATGGCCTTCAAACCCTTAATCATTTGAAAGAAAGTATTGGGGGGGGGAGAAGGGGGAAGACATGCATTTACTAACACTAGTGCAAGTAGCTCAGGCACAGGGCCACTTCCAAGCACTACTATAACTATTAAGGGGCCTCCTAGCACCAGCCCAGTCCTGGTTATACCTGAAACACTGCTCTGATATTCGCATTCTGCGCTGAAGCAAGGGGCTAAGACACACATGCATATGTTACACGTGTGAGCATGTTGCAAGCACATGCATGTCCGGTGGGTGGCACATAGCTGTTGTGTTGGGAGAGGTTTCCCCTGTTCTGCCTACATTTCATTTTTTTTTTTTAAATAACTGCAAGCAAGTGGAAAGCCAGGCACTTCAAGAGCCCACAGCACTTAGCACACTGGACATGCTAAGGCTGAGTAACCTGACAGCAAAGTAAACACCCAGGGCTCCCCTGCCAGCTGCCTCCTTCTCTCTTTTGTCTCCCATCAGCCACTTGGGACTCTGGGCAGGTCTCACCCCAACCACACTGCAGATGTCAGGGCAACAAGGGAGGGAACCGGGCACCTCTTAACCAACTGCCTGGGGGGCTGGGGAGGACACATGCCCCCCCAGCGGCCAGTCAGCAACAGAGGTGGGGGGCCCCCCGTGGCCAACCCCAACCGGGGCGGTGGAAGGGGTCCCTCTGCAGCCGATCCCGCCAACCAGGAAGCATGAGCTCCCAGAAATGCCAGCAGCACTTCACCCGGTACCCCCACTCCCTGAACAGGCCAGGGGTCACCGGCGCTCCCACCTGCCCCCCCTGCCTGTAGCCTAGGCGAGGAGGATTGCCTATCAGGGAGTACACTGGAGCTCTCAGGAGGTGCGCCTGCACCCCCATGCACCTTCTACACATCACCATTGGGAAGGGGACAGTAATAAAGGGGCAGAGGAAAAACTCCCCCTGGCTTTGTGCATTATGTGGGCATGCACACACGACGTATGTGTGAGTACGTCTGTGTCCCCACGTAGAGGGCCACACATGCATTTGCCCATGCACATCTGCTTGCCTAGATGTGCATGTAAGTAAACGCCTACCCGCACACACATCCGTGCAAGTGCATGTGCATGAGTACGCAAAAACACTTTTTCCAACTCTTCACTGCCTGAATATAAAAGACATCGCAACTCCCTAAAGACCCCGGCCTGCCGCGGTCCGGAGCCCAAGGCGGCTACAATCACCACCCCGTG